AGAACCGTGCACCCCGTCCCCTCCAGCAACGACCAACTATCTCCTAGGGACAGTATGGACGAGGTACTGAATACTGAATACTGTATTATAGAGCAAGTAGTAATGAATTCTGTAAAACTCTATCGAAATATGGTAAAAAAGGTTATAAAATGTTCCGACCGTGAACATCGTTGTCGTTCTCTGGTAACATTTAAAATATGACTTACGATATTTCAGGACTCGCAAATGTGATATGTCATGATAAGTGTGCAATCGTTCTCTGAATCGAATAGTGGCAAAATACAAATCTAACAACGTTTTGAACTGCAGCACAGACGTTGCCTCGGTCACATGTTCAGGTAACTGTTCCAAATGTTTACCACTCTCCTTTCGAAGTACAGTGGGTGGGGAACACATTTCATATCCGGCACGACAAGTTTGTATCTGTGTCCGCTTGCGCTGCATGGCCCTCGTAAGCGCAGCATTGGCCTTAGCATTGGGAAGTCACCGAGATGTAGAACACAGTAGGCCATAATGAGATCGACTCGCACCTGACGGTACGACAAGGTGTAGAGTCCTAGTTTCGTGTACCGGTAGTGGGTAATAGACAGGTAGACACCTTGTCAACATGCTCATCAAGCGCAGCCGCACCGGGGATGTCAAACAACAGCCAATCAATTGAAATAACAGTAACAAATAAAATATATGTTAAAGAATACGTCTATGCAGACATAACTCTTCCCTAAATTAGCATATGTTGGTTAGCAACGAATCCGCGATAAGTAAAAAGTGTCCAGAAGTGACTCAGAAAATGCTACAAACACGATAAAGTTAACGAAGATAAGTACAGTTACCGTAAGCAATGCGGAAATTTAATAAAAGATTATTCCGGTAGGCAGAACAAATCAAATGAAGTGGAATGAAGTTTATCCAGCTTAAAAAGAGACCTAGTTTAAGTGTAAGTTGGTTTAGCCCAACTGCGGTGAAGAAACATCATGAATGTAACATCAGCCTCAGCATGCGGCATATATATATATATATATATATATATATATATATATATATATATATATATATATATATATATATATATATATACAATTACTGCCACCTTCGAATAGACATAGAGCCATCAGAAACAATGGGACTCAAAAGAAAATACGGCAATCGTTAAAGATAACACAACATGCATGTACGAACTGTTGCACAACTTGGTGATCCGGGTCAAAAAAGGCCTTCACAAATGCAAACAGTGTGTTCAGCGCCTCCCCATATCTCGTGCTTTTCGATCCGAGCCGACATCTAGTGCTGTAGAGTGATGCATCCCCAAGCGGAGGAGGCACATTCCTTTGCAGCCGGACGGATGACGTTTCTCTTCGTCGAATCGCTTTTGCTTTTCGTACCCTACAAGCTGCTGAAAGAAATTACACCCAGCTGGTCAGTAAGATCTTAGAGATTATTTTCGGAGTTAAGCATTTCAACAATTGCGTCTTGGGAAGACAGCTCGATATCCAAACTGACCATAAATCACTTTTTTCGTTTCTGGGTGACGAGACTAGAATCCAACTGATGTATTCGCCTCGAATACAATGGTGGGCGCTAGTTTTGGATTCCAATAACTACAAAATTCAGTATATAAACGGACCAAGTAATACCATTGCCGATACACTTAGCGGTGTCCCGCAGCAACATGGCACACAAAGGAGCAGTGGACACATGGAGTTTATTAATCTGATGCAACACCTTGAAAATGCACACATCGGGATTGTCGTGATGCGGCGCCTGACGGACCGAGACCCAGCGTTTTCGATGATGAAACGGCTCCTGATTACTGGATCGCCTACGGGCATGTAGTAGTAACCAGTTGAGTCTGTAGGACGAGTTTATTTAGAGGCCCTCGCGATGTTCCACCAGAAGAACTTCAGCCCTAGTTGCTGAGAGGTCGGCGCGACGCATTTCCAGGCGTGAACAGGATGAAGGTGCTAACACCTGGTTACTGTGGGTACACGAACATTGACTAGGATATAGAGCGGCTGCTGAAATATTAAGAACAATGTCAGAAATACAAAAGACAAAAATCTCCCGAACTGATACGTCTATGGCGATGGCAGGAGAGGTCCTGGCAGCAGGTACCCGCGGACTAATTTGGCCCGATCAATGGGTTGATGTGTCTACTTTTGATTGCTGTCTATTCTAAATGGATAGAAGTAGATCCAATTCTACATGCTACATTCGCAGCAACAGTTGCAAAAGTGCGCTTCAAATTCGCCATTTTCTGTACCCCGGAGAAGGTGTGCACCGACAACGGTAATCCATTTACCAGTGAGGAGTCTCAACACTTCCTGAGTCACAACGCAATACAACACACCAAGTGTGCGCCGTACCATTTCGCGTCGAATGGAATGGCAGAACGGGCAGTCCATGCTGTTAAGCATGGTCTCTCCAACCAGACTCATGCAATTTTACAAACTAAGTTGGATCGTCTCCTGTTCTCTTACCGCACGACACTGACTGAGTCGACAGCGAACTCATCCGCTGAGTCAATGTTTAGCTGGCCACTACGAACGAGACTGCACCTACTTTTCCCGAGATCACGAAGGAGAATGGAGGCAAAACAGTAACAGATGTGTGGGGATGACAATATGTCAGCAGAAATGTATCTCGATGATTTTGTTTCGGCATACACAAGACTTCCTCACGAAGCAAGCTGGAAACCTGCTACACTCATGTCCTCAACGAGTAACAAAGTGGAAGTACAACTGGACAAAGGCTGCGTGTTGCGCCACCATTTTGACCATATCCTGCCACGCTCAAATTGACCACATGAGCGGGATCAATAATCGACTGCAACTGAAGCAAAAGCGGACATGAAATCTGCCTCACAAAAGCAAAAACCAAAAAAGGATTCGGTAAAACCACAATTAAGGTGTTCAAAAGGCACGCCTAAGCCAGTTGATCGGTATCATCTCGGAGTCTGTGATATTAACCAGAAAAGAAAGGAGTGTCACGTATACAGTTGAGTAGTGATTCCTGAACACAGGCGCTCACATTATTGATTGTCAATGATCTTGCTTTATCTTCCTTATTTCATTGGTTTATCGGTTCGGCACTTCAAGTCACGGTAACGTAGAATTCATTCATTAAACGGTTCCATACTGCGTCTGTGCATTTTGCTCGGTCTATCGACTACTTGTCTTACGTAATAGTCGCGTTTCCAGGAGCTCCATCGTACAAGTTGGCAAAGTGCATGTGGAAGAACGTAAAAGCTCTAATGGCCGGATCTGGACAAAGTATTAGCTATTCTGGTCAATACTACATTAAATTAGGGGTTGTTACGATAGCGCTTCACCGCATTTTGCATGTCTATCCGTCACGAAGCATGATGGAATTACTTAGATCAACCGAACACAATAGGAAACCTCAAGCCAGAGAGCGCATGGGAACTGTTGGATCTCTATATGACTAATTATTTGTACCGTGATGGACAAGTATAACAGCAAATGAAAGGCACTCACGTTGGATCGCTAATTGCAGAGCTTGTTACAGAAGCCATGGCGCAGCAATTGGTGCATATCAGAATACCGTTGATCCGACCGAAATTATGGATCCCGTAGTGGACGGCACGCTTGTCATCGTCAAACAGGATTCCATGAGAAATAGGTGTGTGCTAATCAACAGCACATTCCAGGATGTCAGTTTTACAGTTGAGCTCGAGAAAAACAACCAATTACCATCTTTAGATTTACTGATCCACAGATACTCAAACGGAAAAGTCCATATACGTATATGTCGGAAGAAAACCTACTAAGATCGCAGCAATCATCCACCGAGCTACAACTAAAGCTGCATTCCAAACATTTTTCAGAAAAGCCGAAACACGACAGAATTGAGGAAGAAGGAAGAGAACCATACATACCGATTATTGGTTAAACTAAACGGTGATTCAAGCAATTTCACCAGAAGATGCCTCAAGACCAAAATGCCTACACATTAGCAAGGCTATGTTGATAAACGGAAGTGCTTCCTTACATTAAGAACTTCTCTGAACTATAACGAGACTGCTGCGGCCACACGGAACCTTAGTGACCGACAGACAAACGGGTACTTTAAGAGGATGGCTATTAAAGCCGTAGGAGGAAGTCAAACAAGGCAGTCAGAATAATATCATCTACTAGATACACTGCCAAGAACGTGACGAACATTACACCTGACAAACTGGGGTCAACGAACACAACATGTCTATACGGAGATACGACCCAGATTCATTGGTTTCCAGGATCCAAGACCAAGAAAGCCACCAATTAGACCTAGCGAACGTAGTTCTTAACCCGTGCAAATCCAAGGCAAGGTAAAGAATTATTTGAACTATGATAGTCTACAGGCAATTAAACCAACCGACGTGTTGAACTAGATCATCGAATTAGTCAACTAAATCTAACGGAACGGAGCGCCTGACAAATAAGTCAAACGAGAATATCAACCGCAGTAGCAAGCTTGCTTACGCTATGACGCAAGAATCAAAGAGATCAATTTCTGTAGTAGTGTGTCTGTCGAGAAATCCAAACTCGCACAGACGGTTTGTTAGCCTAGAAGCTCGATCATTCAGACTCTGACGCTTTGCATCGCGCCACTCCGCTAGATAATAGTACCGTGACGATGTCACGTCGACTGGTGGCGAAACGTTTGTTGCCAAACTGACGAGCTCAACGAACACTCAGACAACCAACTACTTACTGCATCTCACCCTTTCCATTTTAAATTTTCCCAGTGGTGCATAGAGCTCCTTCAAAGGTGTGAACGTGTAAGCATAATTTTGGAGAAACCAGCCTTAACGTTTCCTCGGTGTGCACATAGCGGCTTTTGCCACACATTCCAACGTGGCAGGCACTTTGTTTTCATCTATAAAGTGATATGGCTGTAAGGGCTAAAATATTTATTGTCATACATAACCGCTCAATGACTATCCGAAACTGCTATAGCCGTCTGACTGCTTTTTTTCCATAAACCCATCTTACACTTACTTTTAAGTGCATCCAAGATGGATCGGCGTTTTCTTCATCTTCTTCCTCCTCTTTATCAAACCCATCCAAGGGCAAGCGGCGTGTCGGAACCGGTGTTCGAAGGGCATTCTTTTTTAACAGTTCCGTAATTGCTGCATACACTGGTTCCGAACTCATATTTGGTTGCATTAACATGTAATCGGCTAATTCAACCAGCGTGAGGCGCTTTACCTCCTTGGACGCCAAGTCCCGCGAGCTGTCTCCGAAATCGAAAACGGTGCAGCAGATTTCTACCTTTTTCAGGAGCAGTGTTTCCCGCTTATCGGGAGCCACGTCTGTTAAAAGTTATCGGCAAAATGCAGCTTGATCAGAGTGTATCCGGCAAACTTTAGTAAAGAAATACGCAGTAGGTGAATTTAAGAACTCTGCGATTGTTAGTCGATACACGATAGACGAAAAATGGATTAGTTCTAACATCTCCGCTTCTTTGAAATCGTTTGTCACAAGCTGGTTTTATGGCTGAGAAGTTGCCACTTGTAGGCCTTATATTATATGATAATTTTAAGGTTGTGTAGTCAGAAGAATGCGACCAAGGTTGTCATAAAAGTCTGCATTTCCTTAAAGGGCTGCGGTGATTTCCTGTACAGCCAACTAAACGTTCGCCATGGTGACCAACAATTCGGCGGATACAATTGTGAAATTCAGAAACTCCTGAATACTGAATAAGTTCTCGAACCAAAGCCACGAATTCTTGTTGACGGTTTTACCGTGATGAGATGTACAATAGCCCAGTCCCAGTCGTGATCGGAAATAAAAAGCGTGAACTAGTATGTCAAGATGATATTAGCGCAGCGGACACGCCTTGGGAGAAATAGCCGGTATAGTCCATACTGTTAACTTAGGTTATAATGACAAAAAGCAGGAACCGCTGCTGATAAATGCAGATCTTTGGTTTAAAAGCAAGCTGTTATGAGATCTTTCCCGAAGGTGCACGGACAGCCCATACGAAAATTTACAAAAGTACGCATGACTGGTTTGCCGAAGAGCCTCCTCGTGGTGCCAGCTGGGTGGTTCGGGATTTTCCCGTTCCAGCAAACGGTTCGGCGGCAGTGTCCCAGGACATGGTGGGTTATCGCCTGGCAAACCTTCTCCCTACAAAAAGCCACATATGTCCGTTTCACAACACTGTGACGTGGCGGACGTGACTTGCCACTAACTAAGGTCACTGCTTCTTGCTTCATCCTGGCGAAGCATTGTATCCAAGCAATTTTATGCTGTAATTCTGGGGAGCATTGGGTCTTTGTTTGACAAAGGAACAAACGGAAGGCGTATGAACTGAGTAATCAGTCACCGGCTTCCAATGGGCGTAATTCCCTTAATTCGCCCCGCTGCCTTGCGGGTTGGCTATTCAGCCAAAGGCTCGGGGTGGTGTCCCCTAAGTCAACACCCTAATTCGGCTTGGGCAACTGGGTACTATCTCGCCCTCTGAATAAAACCATGGACTTTAATGTTTTTTCTTGTGTTTTCTTTTACTATTTCTATACCCCATGGTTGCTGATGGCTTTATGTCTATTCGTAGACCGTTGCAAATATATATATATATATATATATATACCAAATGCATGACCGAAAATTTGTGAGTTATAAGAATGGGTACTAGTGAATGTTCTCATGGTCGCAGCTGGAAACCTTCCTCAGATAAGAGAAGGTAGACAGCTCTGTAGTTCTAATTCTTCGAGATTGTCTTTCAGCGTTTTGTTGAGTGCCAACCGATTATTATCGCAATTTAACAAAATGAATATCAACTAAACAACGCAAGTAGCCTTCTTAATCATTTGCAAGAACAAGTTTTAATCGTCAGCCATATAAATGACTATGGAATTTCTCTTGACAAAAGTTCACATGTGAACTTGACTGCTTACATTACATTATCCTTTCGCAGTTTTGCTGTTCCTGAGTAGTAGAAATCTTTCACTTGTACGAAAACCAGTTTTCAGCTTTAATTATTTACTAGTTTTGAGTGTCACTAGCCGCTTCTAAGCATATGGAGTGCAAGTCAATCGTTATATATTTATATATTATATTTAAATATTTGTATATTTATTTACAGGTAAAGTGTGGTTGTGGGGACAAACCTCTGGTATAGTCGAGGCTGTCCCTAGTAGGCTGTGTCTTAGCCATACTCTGTTCGGTGTATACTTATTTGCCATGATGCCGTATAATTTAATGCATGCCACTACGCTGCCCATCCCGAGAGCCACATTATGGTGGGCTACTGGATATCAGTGGTTTCGGGGTGGAAAGCTGAGTTTATAAGACAAACAACCGGATACCGTTTTAGCCGACGACTGTGTATTGATCCTCTACAAAGTGAATGATTTGTCACATGTGACGACGGCTCTCGATTCGACGGCGGGCGATTTCGGACTTATCATGCATATATGCAAAACAGTCTGCTTTTGCACCCTTTGCCAAAAATAAAGTCAGTATGCTACCTGCAAGTCAAAATTGCTGACGATCATTTAGAAAACTCAGCAGATTTGCTTCCCCCGGGAATTTACTGTCAGTGGACCTACTGATGGTCAGCTAGTAGCGCTGTCGTTTTATGGAAGACGAGTGCGGCAACTAAGATATGAGTTAACTTCTAGACCAAGAAGCTGATGCATATCACCGCGTTTACTCCTGTTCTTCTATGTGGCAATGAAACGTGAACGGCATACTCTTGTATCCGAAGAACGTAGATGTTATAGAAGTATATCGGAGGAGGCACCTGGAAAGTACAACTGGCCAGAATGAAAAAGAACTCACTAAGAAATCCGCTAATCAATCAATCAGTGTTGTGCGAATTTCAGCCAGCCAAGATAAGCCTAGGGTAACGAATCACAACACTTCCCGTCGGAAAAGTTGTTAGCTGCGTGTTGGTATCGATCACCTTACTTTGGTGTACGGCTGGACCTGAGTAATGCACAGGACGATGGACACGGCCATTGCTGAAGTTCACACGTATCTTGGCTAGACTGCGAGGCCGGTCCAGTTGTTCTATAAAACCGACGGGCGTTGACTATCAACCATTTTCTAATCGATATGTGCCAGGCCCACATGCATGCGTGATTCGCAGCGGTGCAGTAAGAGTTGGGTGAACCTTTGCGTTACTACTATTTTTTATCCCAACAGATGATCCCGGCTGCAGTGGAATTGAGATTTTAGCGTAGGATTGTTGGTATGTTGCTATGCGGTTTGGCAATTTGGGATCCACAGAAAATGACATGTTGTGTGCAGCGTTAAGTATGGTGCGCAATGGTCTTCCTAGCATCAGTTCGGCAGACGTTTTCACTGTGGCTCTGTGTTCACAGGTTTTGTATGATAGTAGCGCCGTTAAGGCAGCTCCTTCCCCTTCTACCTCCCCCTAGTTGGATGACCTGTATTGCCTTCTTGAGAGATTTGTAAAAGCGCTCCAGCACGCCATTAGCTGGAAGATTGTAGGGGGCAGTCGAAAATGTTTTATGTTATATCGTTGAAGGAAAGTTTCGAATTCCGAACTACATAATTGTGGACCACTTTCTCTGGTAACCAGAAGCGACTGAACAGATGTCTGAGCCATCGCATCAATACGGAAGAGGCTTTTTTGTCACAATTATATACCTCAGATCATCTGCTGTAAAGCAGGTTACAACAAATTGATGTTTCGTATTTACCGGAGCAGGGGCGAAGTCGCCCATAACCTTAATTGCAATTTTCGCCTACGGTCTCCTCGAATATGATATCGGTTGCACGGAACCTTCGACAAGCAGAGACCTTTTATCCGCTACTCGGCAAGCTTGACAGTTTTTCACGAATACCACTACTTTATGCCATTTGTGGCCACCAGAAGTAATATCGGACGTCATTTTTGGTTTAGACAATACCCAGATGACCCTCCTAAGCACACGCAATTATCTTGTTAATCAGGGATGATGGAACTATAAATACTGGTCCTCACATTCGACAACCATCTACTACTGAAAGCTCCTCTCGAATTGCCTAGTACGGTAGAAACTCACAAGAAATTTTGTTGTTCTTCGGCCATCCATGCTGAACGGAAACCACGAGTCGCTGTAGCGTCACCTCACGCATTCTCCGTTTACAATCCATTATTCATCTAGGCGAACAAATCGGATCCAAGACTGGACACCAATGTCGCCTCTCTGAGTACTTCTCTTCCATTCTTCAGTTCCAAAGTTAAGCGGGATAATCCATCCGCTATCTAATTCTGCCATCCTGGCTGGTAAACGATTTGAAAATCGTAGTGGAGAAGTCAGACGTAGCAAAGATTGATTCGCATCTGACGGAACCCTTTAGATCCATTTTTGAAGGGGGTGGTGGGTGCAGAGTGGTCAGTATATAAAATACAACGGCGGCTAAAGAGGTAAAGATGTCATTTTTCGCATGCCCACACACACGCGACAGCTTCCTTTTCGCCAGCGGAGTAATAAAGTTCAGAGTCTGATAAGTTCCGCGAAGCATAGGCAATGAATTTCTCTTCACCATTTCGTAGTTGCGAAAAAACAACACCGAGGCCGACACCGGAGGCATCAGTTGACAAAAAAATCCGGCATAATTCCTCAAAGATGATAACCAATTGAAAGGAGGCTATCCGTCATTTAAGTTCGTCAAACGCATTTTGTTGCTCAATCCCCTAAACACACGGTGGTCCCTTTTATGTCATTTTCCGTAGTGGATCCGGCACTGTTACAAAATCACAAACATATCGCAAGTTGTAAGATCACACACCCAGAAAAGATTTAGTTCCGTTAAGTTACTTGGTATCCGCGTGTCAGCTGTGACACGGATATTTTCGTTCCTGGGGCGAATGCCGCTGCGGGAAATGATTTGCCCTAGGAATTGAATCTGCGGGGCATTAAATATACTTTTTCGTGTTCAAGCAGAGACCGAGCTCACTGAGTTGTCAAAGGACTTTATGTAAGCGTTCGTCATGCTGTTCCGGCGAGCGACTGATGACAAAAATATCTTCCAAGTAGGCAACCTGTGCATCAATACCTCCCAGAGCTTCAGTCACGTAATGATGCCAAATAGCAAGTGCTGAGCTCAGACCCATGTGTAAAACCTAGTACTGGAACAAGCCATCAGGGGCTAGGAAGGCAGTAATGGGTTCGAAGTATTCAGATAAAGGCATGTGGAAGACGCACTCCTTAAATCTAGTTTTGAGAAAATGGTTGCACCGGAAAGACTAACTCTTAGCGCATCACGAAAAAGGTAGCAGAAGTCTCTCGGCGAGTTTCTGACTGTTTAGACCTTGTTGATCATTGTCTATCCTGAGAGTGCCGTCTATTTGCAA